ATCGAACCAGTACGATACTCGCGATAGACGACGATTCTACTTACGAAACTTCGATATTCGTATAATTTTATACGAACACTTCATCTTGGAAGAATTCTACAGTGGGGTGGAGCGGGAGCATTTTTAAAATTTCGAAATAAGAATCCGAAATTTCCCACAGTCGAAATGCTAATTATTCTTATCATGTTCCCATGAAATATGGGAATATTTTATTTGTAGAATCGAATAATTCTGCGGTCACGATTGAAGATATTTTTAATTACGTTTTTGAGAATATTCGAGAGTATTTGAATGTTTTCGCGTTGTATCGTCCCGATTTCGTTCGACCATAATTTATTTCAAAGACAATGCGTCATTCTCGAGAAGACACGGGGTGGTAAGAGATTTTAATCATTTAATTGTGCTGGAAAATTATTCAGAAAAAGGGGAATGAAAATATAATAACCGTAATTGATATCGTTTCATCATCGCAGGGGGTGTTTTTCGCGAAAAATTGAAATTTCGCCGCGGCGGAAGAAAGCGTGCCGCTTAACCGAAACAAGCCATTCTTTTTTCCCTTCTGACATAATTCATCGCGCGATAAATTCCCCTTCAGCTGGAACAGGGGTGGGAGAATACCGGAAATAATTCGCGAAGGAAGCCGCGTGGCGGAATTTACGGGCGGCGAGCTTTTTAGCAATTTATATCCGGCCGGGGCAAGATTGTTGTTCGCCGGCCATTAAAACGGCACGACATCTCGCATTGTTCTCGGCCAATAGCACCGGTGGACCATTTTTCACGCGAATATTATGTCCTCGGACCGATAGCGGGATACCTTTCCTCTTCCTCGCTCTTTCGTCCTCTTTCGTCCTCCTTCGTCCTCCTTCGTCCTCCTTCTCTCTTTGTCGTCATCCGATTCAACGATTCGAACGGAGAATGGCTCGCGCCGGTTCCCGGGCAACGTTCCAAACCAGTGAATGACGCCCACTCGAACAACTTACGCAACGACGCGCGCCGATGCAGCAGAAAAACACGTTCATTCACGTTTCGTCGACGGACAAGCAGTCGTTGCACCGGCTGATTCAAGATATCGCTGCTTCTCCTTTTTTCCCTTCCTCTTTCCTGCCTTTCCGGCTCCTCTTCGTCCATGCGCGCGCCCAGACGCGCGATTATTCGAATCGCTGTCGCGTTCCAGTATTTTTCTACCCCGAGACGCTGATTTGGCATAGAAGGATAAATAGTAGTGATGGTAGTTTTTCGGAGGAACGAAAATTTTTTAGAGAGATCTTGACTTGGTTCGGGGTACGGGTGAGATTAGACCTTGGTTTGATCGCTTCGAGATAGTGGAGAGATTAACGGCATAGAAGAATAAATAGTAGTGATGGTAGTTTTTCGGAGGAACGAAAATTTTTTAGAGATGGCTTGGTTCGGGGTACGGGTGAGATTAGACCTTGGTTTGATCGCTTCGAGATAGTGGAGAGATTAGATAGAGCGTTTGCGAGACGAATATTTCGTGAAACAGTTTATCCTGCTGTTATTACTTGCTGGATATCACAAAGATTCATCTTTCTTTTCGTTTAAAGAGGCGGGGGATGGTAACCCTTCGATCTCTTCTTTTTGGATCATCTCGAATAATTGGCACTTGAATACCAATATAATTGAAGAAAAATGAAATGACACGAATATTTACAATTCTAAATATTTCAAATATTCCAAGAAATATAGTAACAATAATCTGGATAATTATACCCATGATAGTATCCACTCTCTAATCTATACTACAATAACAGTAATAATAATACCGATCTACAATAATCAAAAATAATTGTTCACGCCTTTCTGGCCCACCTCGATTCAATATGCCAATCGTCCTAAACTTTAAAATACTCTCTTTGACAACCAAATCGTCCCTTCAGCAAGTACCTTCCTCCCCTGCGTCTGCGCATTAAAAATCATAGCAACCCATAATTCCCCATAGCAACCCGAAACGCGAGCACGATGAAACTCGGTCTTCCACTTCGAATCATCGAGTTTCCGCGAAGCAACCCTTCAACAACCGCGAGGGCCGTTCCGACAGGGTAGAACGGGGAAAATGTCGGGGACCAAACGGGCCGCGTACCGCGACGAGGGCTCCTGTATTCGCAGGCGAACGATACCGGCCGATAAATCAGGCGAGAAAGTAGCGAGCGTCGCGACTAATTCATACAATTTCAGACAGTTGGTAGATTTATCGGCAGCCTCGGCGCGTGCTCGCATGTAAATAGCGAGAGAGAGCGAGACTCGCGGCTGCTGCGAAATAATTTATCGCGTCGGCCGCGACAGCCGGGAACAACGAGCGCGTGATGGTTCGCCTGTTCTCTCTATAAATCCTCCGGGTCCACGGGGGAGAGCATCGACTCGGTTACCCAGTGGCTCGTTCCAGTTTCGTAACGCGCGCGGAAGACCTCGCCACAGTCAGGTGAGCACGAGGATCGCTTCTCCGCAATGTTATCTTATCGGCCTAATTGCGCAAAAGCTCCGAGTCGGGGACCTGCACGATTTCCGGAGTATGTCACGGTTTTCCGGCAGCGTTGCGTGACTTCGTTTACTTTTTGCTCTCGGTTAACATCCGGAACCCTGGGTTCCGAATTTTTATTCTTCCTCTTACTTAAAATTAGCAAATTCCTCGAACGAGATTAATTTCTATTCTTATAAACATCATTTTGTCGAAAAATATAAATTTTTATTAAATATATCGACTTTGGGAGGATCGGGAGGAGCTTAATTTTATACGTGAGCACCCCTATCGTCTTTTGTCTTCGCAGGGGGTACGGGTCGTGATTTTAGTCTTTCCAGAACCTCCATCCGCGACACGTGCCCCCGCGCTTTGGCACGTGTGTGTCCCATTGTCATTTTTCTTTGCTGGGGGGCACGGAACACTCTCGATAGTTCTGATCTTTCTAGAACCGCGGTACCACGTACCCCTGCGCGCTTTGTGACTGGTCATCGAACGTTCTCGGTCTTTCAAAGTCGCCACATCGACCATTTTGACCTATAATAAATTACTCCAATTAGGAACACTGTTTAATACTGCAACAATAAGCACCATCCATTTTAAAAATGCAATGTTATTTACTGGTCAACCCAGTAATTGGAACATACGTGCTATATAGTTAGCTATGAATAGAATATTTGGACACACGTTCCAGATCGGTAGTTTCCTTCGCCAAGTGACAAGACGATAGAAAGTACGGGATGAGGAGTTTAGAAAATGTTCGGAATGAACTATAGCGGAGTCCAGAATGAATTGCGGACGCCTTGGAGAAAATATTCGAAATCCAATCTGCATTTTTCAGGAGCCGGTCTTTAGGAATATCTGGAATGAATCGCGGACGCGAGACTCGCATACTAACTCGCAACTGCTTGAAACTAAGACCACGTGTCCCTAGGCATCCAACGAAGATCCCACAAAGACTCCGCGATGTGGTATACACGTATACCTGCGCGCTATCACGCGTCTTTTCACGAGAATTTAACAAAGAGAGATGTGCTCACATTCGCTTCCTTGGTTACGAGGATTAAGCGCGCTAGATTGCGACAGACACTGTGGAACTACGGCTCTTTTAAAGTCCATATTTCAATCCATCTGTCGCGAGATCTCGTAGAATGATAGCATGATTCACACCTTGTCTGCTATTCTACGCTATCGCTGCATCAATCGGTATTACCGTTCGGTATTTCGACTGCCACGGTGAATAATGTATTACTATGATTGTATTACCGCGCGATCGATCAATAGTCTACTTTAAATTACAAAAGCACACCTTGACACTGAGCTTGCGCTATGAATTCGATGGAAAAGGCTGCGGGCTAACACCACACCGATTTTACACATTTGGTACTTTTTAATCTTCTTATTCCGTCGAGATAAAATTACCATTGCTGTCTAGTTTCTGTCAGAAGGCAATTGGGACACTGCAATGGAAACACGCACATAATTGATCCTGATGATCTATTATATTCGACCCATTACGTGTCTCCTTTTCCAACCGTGACTCGAAACAGGGAACATTGTATCGCGCGCAATAACCGTGTTGGCAATGATTATTATTCGGCACCGATTGTATTATCATCCGGGATTAATTACGTTCATATTGTCAGAAAGATAATTCACGGGTTACATTATCTCCTGAACAAGCGGATCGATATGTAACCGGTTTTATCCACCATTCATGACGCGTCGCGATCCCGTCCAGGAAATTAAAATTTCTCTCGGAATAATTCATTTTTCCATCTCAACACCGTTCTTCCAAAGACTCGTGCCTAGTCTGCTTGTTCCGTGTCAGGATCGGCTGGTTCTACCGGTTAAATGACCTGTCGCGATAGGTTCAGCGTCATTTTCTCGTCTCCTAGGCCGTAATCACCGCGAGTGACGTCGATGACGACGACGATCAGGCCCCGTCTCGCGTAATGACACACGTAACTGTCTAACCAAGGCTGACGTAACGACTTGCGGGACAAGTTCGCGGTGAAACTCGTCCCGGCGTTCACGCAAGAATCAAAGTCTGGGTCAATGCTGCCGGCGACCAGTTTCCTCGCGCCGGCTCGCGTGCTTTGGTCCCGTTGCGTTTGATTTATCGTGGAAAACGGCGGCGCAGCTTGTAATTAGCTTGCGGTTTCTTGGGTGGTTTAATTGGTGGTGTTAGTCGGATGGCCGGGTGATTGATTCGTATGGGTGAATGTGTGAATCACGGGGAAGAACAGATGCGAATAGATCGTGACGCGGCACGCGTGATTATTTCAGCGTTCGTTTATGGCGTCCCGTCCTGTTCCGATGCTTGGCTCGGGCATTAAGGAGGACGTCGTAAAGCAAAATTAAGGTATTAGTTAGGAATTTATGTAACACCGTATGGCTGCATTGTCGGCCATTTTTACGCGTTAAATTGGATATCGACTGTCTCGAGGTACGAGAACGGAACTAATTAAAATGTTAATTCGTATGGCAACGCGAGATTGAAGGCAGACGTTTCTTTCTGTTGCAGGTCGTCGGTGCTTCTTATATGTATTATAGGACTATGCCTGCACGACGTCTTTGCGAAACACGTGAGTATAACACCTCGCTCTTTTATACCCCGCCATTTTATCCGAGTTTAACGACAAAGATAAAACGTTTTCGAGGGAGCACCCCTTGCAGCATTCCTCTCGATTTTATTGCCGTTAAACCCGCTGCTGGCTCGAGTTTCACAGGGTCGCGGCACCGATCGAACTATCTTAATGAACGCAATTTGTACGAAATATGGAAATGGTACAAGGTAGAATTTACGCGAAACGAGACTCGCCCATTAACTGCTAATCTCGAATTAACAGTCGCGGGTGATCTGTCGCTTTCGTTACAAAATGCTACACCCGGGGGGGATCGAGGATGATAAAACCGGAGGCTACAGCGTCGTTAAACCGGAACTTATAGCGCAATAAACAGTCCCTTAAAATGTAATCCGAAACGTATCGGGCATCAACTGCCAAATACCAATACCGTAGTAACTCTACGCTTTATTTCCAATCCCGATACCCCACGCGCCGACTAGATCGCTCGGACAAATGTCTCGAGCACCTTTCAAAGTCGAACAAATTAAATCTCTTTGCTCGAGGCTCGCCTTTACCCCGATATCTCTGGCAAAATTAATGAAAAACTTTACCGTGCTTACTCCGCGACACTTCTCCAATCTTCACTCTCGAGAGAGAACTTAAACCTGTCCCCCTGTCTTTTCGTTTTCTCCTCGTATTCCAATTTTTTTGGCCTCTGTCCGGGATAAACGCGGTGCAAACAGCCCCGGGATATCATCCACGTGGCATCTAATTCCCAAGGAAACATTCCCGAGACTCGAGAGGCGCCACAAGGAAGAAAAGAACGGCTCGGCGGGAGGAGTGGGGGCAAGTACGCGACGCGGCGTCGCTAGTGTTCCCGGATGAAATGGAAGTCCGGCGCGTTTCGTGGAGAAGAGGGTCTCGCGACGACGATGGAGGGTACAGGGTGGCAGAAACGTGAAAGACGAGGTACGATAATCTCGTTGCACAGCCGCTGTTGCCGCCGTTCCTTTTGCTGTTCCATACGCGTACCTACACCTTGCATCCGTCTTACACGAGAAATAACTCACCAGAGGAATAACTCAGGATCGTGTTACCCCTCCGGGCCTTTTACGCGACGCTTTGCTTCTTCAGCGTGGACTCTGTCGAGTATTCTTGCCTCGGACGAAACCCCGCGGGTGTTCAATCGCAGCTTTGTCCGAAGAAATGTGGATTGATTAATCGCGGAGGAAGTTCGCGGCTGGCATAGAAATCGCGCTTGTCCGTTAAATTGCAGGGATCGTGGAATAATCGCAGAGATTCGAATGCGAATTTTATTTTCGAGCTATTTACATTTTATTCTTAGATTCATTTAGAAGCGTATTGCTCGAAGGTTGCTTATCGAGTCTCGTTTAATTTTTTGAGAATTTCTTCGAGCAGTGATTTAATTGTTTAAAGTCTTCTATAGTGTGCAGATATTTTTATTATTTTACGATGTAAAAGTGGTATTGTCAATCGAGTATCCCGACGTTGCAAGACAGTCATCGTTAATCCCATTGCGTCCAGCCAGGAAAAGCGTGACAGAACGGTGAGAGACGTAAAATTCTGGTCAATTTTCCTGCTCGCGGTTGTCACGAGCCTGTCACGCACGCGGATATTTTAATCGACACCGGGAAATTGCGTTTATGAATCCAAGCAGAGGACGCTAGCTGCTGCGAAAAACCGCGATATCCCTCGACACCGATGAGATTATCCGCGGAGAGGTCGAGAGGCTGTAACTGACTTATTGTGGCTTTTTGCCATCATCATCAGCTGCCCCCCTTTGCCAGTCTGCGTGGCTAATCCGAGTTAAGTGGCCGTTAGGAAGTCGAAGAAATCTTGGAAATGCTTGCGCCAATCTCGTCGCGAGCTCTGGCCTGTCTCGACGTTCTTCGCGTACCAGGCGAATGCGAATGATCCCTGCTGAGAATATTGGGAATCGAATGTCGTGTTCTTGCGGTGAGAACGCTGGCGATCGAAGGTGGTTACGAATTCGCGAAAATGTGCCTCTGGATCTGTAATTTCTCTGCGTTTCTTGTCTCTCTGCGGTTCGCGCGTGAAGCTTCGAGGAATTCCTTGGAAGGGTTTGAGAGATGGTAGTTGGGATGAACGCTGACACGGATGAGGTTGTCAAACGAGTAAATTTACGGCGAAGGAAAGAGAAAATTTCTCGCGACTACTGACCTACGTTCTCGTACCTAAAGCGTTCGCAAGATATAGCGAGTTCGGAAATTATTTTATTAAGTCTCGGCCTCGATTCGCGTCGAAATGACACCGTTCCAGCTGTCGGCACACGTGCAATTTGCGGCTATAGGTATTTAACTAGGCAGTAAAATGGAAAGAATCGTCGATTAACTTAGAGTTTAACCTCGCTCGTTAATTATCTTTTACTGCCAATTTATTATTATTAAATTATTTTCATATTTCGAACTGAAATATTCGTCGACTATCGTTGGTAGTGGGGAAACCAGTTATTCTCGCTTTCTCTGTCTCATAAATATCAGTACGAGCTTAAAAATTATTAAAATTCGCGTGTTATCTATAACTGAGAATTTTCAGTACATTTAGGTACCGTATTTTATAATTTAAAAATTAGGAATATACGAGACGAGCAGAAAATATCGATATTCGATCATACGTACACAGGATTCAGAAGGGAAGCACTGATAACGAATGGAAGAGATGTCTCGTCCCGATACCGACTCGAAAATGCAGAAAAATATCCATTTACAAAGGAACTTGGAATATATTACGCACAAAGATAACGTCGAAACGAGGATGATATACAGCAGGAACAATGGCGGGAGAGGAAAGCTGAAAAATAATCACTGTTCTCCAGTGACGAAAAGTGGTACTCGCAGAATTTACGAGCTAGCTCGGATCCGTACCTATCAGCCACGATGGATTAGGAATGAAGTAATTAAACTCCCTTTACGAGTATCCATCTCTCTGCTCGCTTTCTGGGTATCCAGGTCGTAAAACCAAGGCGGAGAGATTTTATGGTTCATTTGATAGGGTACAGTATTCGTCCTTGCATCGGAGAACAACTTTTTTCCTCCCTTTCTCCCTTTCTTTTTCCCTTTCCGATCGAGGAAATATGTTGTCGTCGATGCATTTTTCGGATTAGCACGGAAAATAATTTACGAAGATTCCGTCGGAAGAAGCGTGGCTAATCTCCCCTGATGCCTCAAACGCAGTGTAAAACCATTCTTTCCACCCCTTCCTCGAGGCGCGTTCTTAAAGCGTGGCGGGAAATAAAGCAGCGGTTCGAAAAGTTGCTGCTGTGGCTACCTCTTGCAATTACGCCTTTTGTTCCCGGCTTTTTCTATTTTTCTTTACCTCCCTTCCTTTCTTTACGTTCCGTAAACGTTAATTCGGTTCCCGTTTTATATTTGGCCATTCCACCGGCGCGAGTTGGTCCGGGGTAAGTTTTAATTGTACCGCGGTGGAATAAGTACCGAACGCAACAGAAATTTCAGTCGGGAGTAGGAAGCAAGCCAAGTTGTAGGTTGCAGGTCTCGCGATAGTTCAGCGGGACGATAACTTATCTGTGATTACCGTTGTTGTGACCAGACTCCTTCCGGGAGTGAATTACACGAACGAGTTTCGAGCAGTGCAAGAAAGTGCAGGGTAGTTGTATTCGGGTACTAAATCGGTAATACTAATTTCAGTGTCCTTTGTTGGCGATTTGTACGATTCATCTTTGGGCATAGCGATTAAGAGGTCTTAGATTTTTTCCCTAAATTATGACAGGATTTCTTAATCTTTTTCCTTCGTATCCCCTAAAAATTTTTATTTCTACAAAATACATATAGATATGTATATAGCATTCTCCATTAATTTTGTTACAGGGGTTATAACGCAAAGGTATAGTAGTCAGTGGAAAACTGTGGAAAAATTGTATAGATCTTTATTGAACGAACGAACGGTTAGAACTGACCTGTTTAGGGCCACGCGGGTCGTCTTCAGAAGACCAGACACAAAAGACAAGACGTAGGGGAAAAGATCGCCCCCACAATGCTGGGATGTAAAGTTTACTTCACTGCTTAGTTTTTACTACAACAAATTTATATAAAATTTATATAAAATTTATATAAATTTGTGGTCTTCCAATGCCTCCATTTCTGCGTCGAAGGTTCGGTGTCTGGAACTCTAGTGGACCATACACGATTTTCCTTGAGAAACCCTGATTTAGAATAGTCAAAAGCCTTCGTGTCCTCATAAGTGAATATCAAGAAATAATTAATAACTTCTTTTATTATTATTTATATTTTATTATTATTAATATTTATTTCCTAAATATTAAGGGATATTTAACTACTTTCAAATTCACAATTTCCTTCCATCAACCTATGACAATCAGTAATTAGCAAATTTAATTTTACTTAGTCATTAGTAGACGAATGACTTCACAGTAACCAATAACTACAGCTTCACCAAATGAATTAATACTTTCAATCTTCTACCACAAATTCTTCGTTAGGCATCGTTCGATATTATTCTTAACAACATTCTTTATCCTTAATGTTGAATAATTACGAATTCCAAATCAGTCACTTGGAAGAGTAATTTCGATATTAAGAAGATTAATTCAAAATTTCTTCTCTTCCACCTAGTATTCCTTTTCTACTTCTCATTTCTAAATTCGTCGATTATCCACACCCTAACACAGAGCCCTACTTTCACACTTTTCTTCAACTCGTCTCATTGGTCCAGCTACAAATCTTGTCCTCGCGACACATCACCCTATTTTCATTACAATTCACCTCCAACCCCCAATCTCGCGGAACGAGCCGCAAACGAATCACGCCATCAGACTCTCTCGTGCCAATAAAAATGTTTATTCAAACAGCCAGCAAACAATCGCGCAATTAGGCCGAATCAGCCGCGCGAAGTGGACTCGTTTATTCCGACTCGCCTCTAAATTGCCGCGTTTAAGCCTACCTATTACCCTCGGGAACGCGTCGTACATCATCATTACCAAATCCTGTTAACTCGTC